ACATTTTGAGAACCTACAACTTATAATCATGAAATAAAGTCTTCTCCTCGAACATGTAAATTTACATAAATTATAATTTAGAAAGAATGTTAAAAATAAGTTCTTAACAGTTAATCACAGTAAAAATGAAGTTCAAACGCCATTAAATGTTCTTTCTTCAAAGCCCATATGAAACTTTGAGAAACAAGTAGCAGATGATAATATATTTAACTAGCTGCTACAATATAAAAGAAATTGTGAAACCTTTTTTGGCAGAACTTCTAGAGTGATTGACTAGTAACTTACCAGAATTCTACTTGTTTTAAAACCAAAATAAAATTACTTTTTAATCAATCACAACACATGGAGTACAGATACACCTGGATCTGCACAGATACACCATGCCCCCACATACACGTTTTTGCACTACTTCACAATTCAGTACTTGAGAATGAGCATTAAAGGCAGGAAAATGCTTCCTTTTACCTACTTAGTCCTTTTAGAAGCAGTAATTTTCCATTGCCAAAGTAATTTCTGGACTGAAAATACTGAGTCTGTGACTGGGCACATCTTTCCATTAGGCAATAACATGCATCTGCAGTTTATATGCAAGCACAGATAGAAATTTAATATGCCACAAATAAATTAAAGGACATTTATACTTAAATAAGAAGCTAGTTTATTGAGATGTTAATTGGTGAATAATTTTTTTGCATTTTCCAAAGTTTTTACACACACTTCAAAAAGTAGTGGGCGAAGGAGAAAATAACTTATTAAGGTATTTGCTTTAAAAAATTACTTTTTCTAGTAGGCCTTCTTGTTCACAAAACCTATTTGGAGGGCCAATAATTTTCCAGATAAACAAAAGAAAGTTCACAAGCTTAAAGGGCCATTAAACTTACAGGAGCTGCAGGGAAGCTGGATGAAAGCTCATATGGTTCCTCTGAGATCCAATGGCCCAATTCCAAAGACCACAGAACCTAAAATAAATTAAGCGGTAAGTAGAACTCTCGTAATTTCTGAAATAGGAACCTCTTTGAATGTGTAATTAGAAGTAACAGTGCAGTTACAATAGTTGGTTTGATGTTTTGTTTACCCAAGCCAAATGATTCTCTGAAAAATCAAGCAATCAGAAATTTCACAGCTGAAACAAACCATTAAAATACCAAAGTCATATTTCTATGCATAGCCATGATAAATTTCAAAACCTTGTGAGGATATTAGAAGAGTCAACTTTTTGCATCGTGATACATAAAACTAAAGATTTGAAAAGGGAAGTCATAGTGTATCAGTTCTGTTCTATTGGTTCAGTTCATTACTGAACTTCAGGAGGTTCCTGTGGGCCAATTTCTCCAGCCTGTCAAGGTCCCTCTGAATGGGAACACCCATCTGGTGTATCAAATGCGCCTCACAGTTCTGTAACATCTGCAAACTTGCTGAAGGTGCACTCTGTCCCATCATCCAGATCATAAATTAAGATGTTGAACAATATTGGACCAGTATCAACCCCTACTATTGACTAGGATTATGAAACTATTGTATATAATCTGTATTACATATGTGAATCAGCCTGCAAACAAAAGCTCAGTTTAATTCTCTTCAGTATCCTCCTCTGTCAACTGCACGTTCTAGATCATAAAAAAAAGTTGCTAACAGTGCAGAGTACTGTCTGCCTGGAAAATACATGATCATTTATGTTCAGCTGAGCTCTGAAACACTGGATTGATAACATCCTTGGAGACTAGCAATACTGGCACTTTGGACAACTTTCAGCCTTCTGTTCCTATCAAGGCCATCACAAAATGGTTAACAGAAAAAAAAAAAAAAAAAAAAAAGAAGAAGAAAAAAAGGACTTTAACTCTTCAGGGGCATTTTTGCCTATATAGAGACTACTCATGTTTACGTATTGAAAATTGAGGTTATACTAATTTTCTTCTGGCTGTCACAGAATATTCTCTATTGATATGATGAGCAAATTAACATAGTAGTTGAACTATTATCTCATTCTAGGTATCTTTTATTTTTATCTTCTACTTGAAATTGTTATATTTTCAATTTCTGAAATACACTTTTTTTTTTTTTTAATTTTCCCAAAAATATTCTATCCAGTGTTTCGTCCTGGGTTGATTTTCTAAACCATTCTTCAGAACAACTTGAAAGTTGCATCTGGCAGACTCTAATATTAAAAGCATCACAAAGAGTGTTCAGAGATGATTCCTCGAGTGGTAAAAGCATTGTCTTTATGGGAAAAAGGGACAACACTGAAGTTCCTACCATGGCTCTGCCCGTGAGTCATATAAAGGGTGTTTTCCTACTAATTTCTATATAGTCTAAATTCTGAAGCACATTCTGATGGAGGAGGAGTTTATTTTCCTCACTGGCTTCATCAGTAAGAGATGAGCCATAAAGCTTCTCATATAAGTGAAAGACTAGTGAGTTCTGTGCCAAGTTTGTCCACTGTTGCAACTTGCCCCCTTTACAGATATTTGAGCTCCACAGCATCCTTCCTGCAGTTGCCATTTGGCACGCCATAAATATGAGTCAAAAAAGCATTGTTGACCACTAGTGAGAGACAGCATGATTCATACGTGCAACCTTAAAAACGACAGCAGCCCCCCAATACCCTGCTGCTCCTACAGCAACAGTACTATTAGGTGAACAAGAAGTTTACATATATCCCCAAAATGGGGTATATGGAATTTATCAGAAAATAAATCCCTGTGTTTAGGATAATTCCACCTCTGGCAGTCACATTTTCCCTAAATAGTTCTGTAGCCATTTCAAATAGATCATGTCTGTCTCTAACTGTTAGCACAGCCATGCACCATTAAACTGTTGTCGTTATTCACCTTAGAACAAGCTGAATTTCATCAGTGCGTGAAATTATTCCCATACTTGATTCACAATTAATTGAAATATTTTGTAATTTATTTTATTCTCTTGGAAGATGCCATACAAATCCATACGTTACTAAATTTAAATTATAAAACTTTACCTCATAAAATTTGGGAAGCAGTGCTATGAGATGATCCCCTTAGACAAAAAATTGGCATAATAGATATCAAGCATGATAAGGTTATCCTTTACAGCTCACTAACTAAACAAGATTCTAATCAGAACAGACTGTTTATACACTATTAATGTAAATCTTATAAAATGGCCTAATTGTAAGTAGGAAAATGACTTTCTGTAAAGGGCTCTTTTGCCCCAAATCTCTTGCTACAAGAAGTAAATTGCAAACTGAATTTAGAAACTAATTTTGTTATCAAAACCAAGTTCTATAATCCAAAGTAGCTTATACTTCATGACTTTCAGGGGAACCAGCAACCTCATATATGAACTGCTACAAAAACTGGTGCTTTGTGTGATGTGGCAAGAGGTGTTTTACTTGTGAGGGGAGGTGCCCAATTTTGCAGGCTATTGGAAATGAACAGTGATTGTTTTGTTGATAATTAAAAGCAGCAGATCTTCAAATTTATTGTTGAACTTTATTACAAAAATCCAAAGATTATGTTTACTTTTAGAAAGCGCATAACCAAATATTTGAAAATGCAACAGCTGTACAAAAAAAGAAAATAATTTCTATAGTCATGATATCATACCAAACAAAAAAATAAGTTAAGCACATTCATAAATCAATTACTTCAAAAAAATATTCAAAACATAATAATGCATTGCTGTGTTTAGCCAAGAATAGTATAGTAACTTCTTAAAAACATACAGTTAAGACTGCAACTTTGGATTTGAAGTTATAAATTTTAAGGTGCTACCTGAGTATTTTTTTTACAATTACTTCTTCCAATTTACAATAAGAACATTGAAATCTGTTAGCTTTATACTTATAACTGTACATATTTATTGCAAATAGAAGAAACTTGTTAATCCAAGTAATTTCGCTTTTAATCATAGTATAAATCAACTATAACTGAAGCAAGAGAATTGTAACTTCTAATATAGTTCTTAAAGACGTGCTGCATGAAAATAATTTCTTTGTAAATAATCTTGAGCAGGAACAGATGTACCATGCTGTATATTGTGTACATCATGTCCTTATAGCACCAAAAAGATGTTTGTACCAAGAGTAACTAGCAAACAACCCAAATAGATTAAAATATAAACCCAAAAGATTAGTTATGATTAAGTAATCCCATTTCATTTTCCAGTCCAATTTTACAGTAACAACCTCTATCAATCCTTGTAGTATTTAGAGAATTTTGTTTAGAAATGAATTTTGTTTATCTTAACAAAAGATGGATTAATGCTTGTCTATCATGGTTCTGGAATTGAGTACAAAGGCATCGTATCTACTTTCCTAGATAAAAAGAAAATTAGATACAGAGTACATGAACAGGTCCTGTGGTAAATAATTAGGTCACCACTCACTAAAACATTCAGTTTTCGTGAGCACAAAGACAAGAGCTCTCCATTCTAACTCACTGAAAGTTTGCTTCTGGCTTTGGCAGAGACAAATTTTCAACCAGCATATTTTCATAGCAACACAAAAAATTCGCTTCAAACTCATGTAGGACAAAAACAAGTTATGATTTGCAATATTATTCTTGAGTAAACTACTTTTTCTTGTTAGGTCAGTAGCATCTTCGTATTCAACAGTTCCTTAGAATGTAGAAAAGGACTAAGAAAAGCTGAAATATGTCAGAATATAAAGTGTTTATATTGAGAAGAATTAGCTATTTAGAGGTTTTCAAATGTGCAGTTACAAAAGATTTAGCTTAACATTTAGTGATAAAGCAGTACAGTATGGATCAAGCATGAATGCTGGATATAGGATTATCAGAAGTTAGGAAAATACAGCTGAAAACACTGTGATATTAAGAATGTATCAGATTCTAGTAGAATGCAGTCTTGCTGCTCATGGAGAGCCCTAGAAAGGAGGAGATAGGGAGGGAAGAGGCGAGTAGGAGAGGCATAGTTTTTCTATTGACTTCTTACAACCTTAAAGAATGTTTTCCTTTGGCTTTGGGCTCAAGAATCAAGCTGATCAATCTTCTGTTACTTCATCCTCAAGTATGGACTACTTATCTATTTCAGTAGCAGACAACCTGTATGGCATGGAGCTCCAACAAGTGTCCTGCAGGTTATAAAGCTGTAAGGTTAGCCTTGGTGCAAAACTTTCCTTTGCATATCCAGATCAGCTATGTTCTTTTATTCACACTATATAGGGAAATTTATGACAAACATCAAGTTCTCAAGGGTCTGAACACACTGTTTGACTAGTCATTATTTAAAGCCTCTTACCCATCCAGCTAGCACGCTCAATGATCATATGAGCATATGGTATTTGTACTTGAATAACTCATCTTGAAATATGTAAACGGAGTGCTATGAAGATTAAATGTCTAGCTGTAAATTTGATATTTCTCCAACATCCATCTTTAAAACATCATTTTAAGTTTTACTCAGAAGAAGAAAAAAATATAAAAAGAAGAAAAAAATATAAAAAGAAGAAAAAAATATAAAAGAAGAAAAAACCTAAATTTTAAAGTATTTATAAGAAAAAGGAAACCAAGAAATTTAAAGTTATTCTACAACTCTTTTCTGTATAAGATGAAGAGCTAAATTCCAACAGCTATGCTTTATAGCTCTGGAAACATAGGGAAATCTGAAAAACTGTCATCTGCAATCGAGTGGTTAATCTCTACTATCACAGTGAGCAACCGAGGTGGTTTAACCCTGGGCTGACAGATAAGCTTCTCATCCAGTCACTACTCACTCCCTGCCCCAGCAGAATGGGAGAGAGAATTGGAAGGGTGAAAGAGAGAAAAAAACCACCTTCTGGGTTAAAATAAAGACAACTAATAAGTGAAGGGGAAAAAAAAAAGTTAAAAAAACCCAGGTGATGAAAAGTAGTAATTCCCACCAGCGGATCAATGCCCAGCCAGTCTCCAAGCAATGGCTGCTTTGGAAAAACTCCTTCCAGTTTTATAGTTGAGCATGATGTCATCTGATACGGAAACTCTCTTTCATTAGTTAGGGTTAGCTGTCCCAGCTGAGCCCCCTCCCAGCTTCTTGTGCACCCCTAGCCTACTTGCTTGGGAAGGGAGTGGGGGGGGCTGACCAAAAAACAGAGAACACCTTGATGCTGTGTAAGCACTGTGGAATAGCAGCTAAAACACTGGGGGCTTATCACCATTTTGGTCACCAGTCTAAACCAAAGCACCATACAGGCTACAATGAAGAAAATTAGGTCCCTCCCAGCTGGACCCAGTACAGCAATTCATGATTACCTTGTCTTTTCGGTAACAGTCTGATAACTTTGTGCCCACAAGATATTTTGAGGATATACAGTGATTATTTGATCTGGATGTCTGGGAGCCATTTCTGTAAATTACAAATCTCCAAACTACTCATCAGCAAATAACTTTCCTGTTTGTTTTTTTTTTTTTTCCCTATTTTACAGTTTTACCACTATGCAGCAAAATATCTAACAATTCTCCTTCATTTTTACCAATGCTGAACACAATACATGTTTCAGAACACAGTAGAAATATATCAAATCAGTATATAAAAAATTCAAACTGAATAATGTGACTTGGCTAATGTTGAGCAAAAATGGTTTGTTTAGCCTTTAATCTGTCAAAAAATAATGCATGTGACATGAGTTTCTCATCCATGAGACAGGACTTTAGGCACTTCTAAAATACATACTGAGGTACAATGCAGGAATACTTTGGTTAGATGAAGTACTGAAAGACTAAGTCATGGTAAAAGAGCTTCACACAGATAAATTTCCTCTAACTGAGCTAACTCTAGGCAAGCTTGAATATCTGAATATTGTACCACTGTACATAGACATGTGGACATGGACACAAACATTGTTATATGGTTGATATTTCAGCTATACAAAATATGTTTAATTTATTCTCTAGTAAAATTTAAAAATATTTCTTACCCATTCATAAGAAACAATCCAACACCCACGAGCAATTCCCAGCATAACATTCAAGGTACGACGAGGACTCCCTGTAACTACATGACTTGTTGTTTCACACACATCATCTGAGAACAAAAAGTCTCCAAGTTTATTCACCACCTGAATTACCGTATTTTGTTTCCTAAAAAGAAGAAAAGGGAAAAAAACATACAACGTTGAATGAATATGCTGAATTATAAAAGCACAACACAATTTAACTCAAACTCATCTCATTTCTTTCCTCACTAACAATTTCTTATTCTTCTCTCACTGAGCCTCTACCCATTAGCTAGCTCTAAATTCATTAGCCTTCCCACAGAGTCCAAACAGACCCTTTTCTGTCATCACACAATCATATCTACTTGCACATCAAAGCTCTTTTGTCCCCCACATTTATCTTGTCTGTTTAAATAGAAGCTTTTGAGTCAGGAATTATCTAACATTGTTTGTGTACAATGCCTAGTACAACAGAGCCTCATTCTTGGTTTCTTTTGTAGTACTATCAAAAAAGCATTACCAGGAAATGTAAACATTTAGACACAGCACTCAAGAAGTTTTCATTAGGAAGCACCAGATTTTCAGCATCTGAATAAAATACTGTGTTTAAATTTGGAAAGAAGTCCTGAAGTTCTGGCTTGCTACCTATACATCTGAGCCAATGTTTCAATCAGGAATTCACTTATCTTTAATTATAATTAAATATAAAATCCGGAATGGCCACCTATAACTGGAATTCTAATTGGAGTTCTCTACATAGCTACACTTAAGCACACAAATCTATAATTGTGAAAACATTGAGATCTTCGTATCCCTAGAGAAAAGCTGTTCCATGAGAACAATTTACTATTCTTCTTATAAATCATTATGACAAATGACCATTAAAGATCTGTAAATGAAAGCACAGTTCCAGTGCCCTCTCTGCTCCCCTGAGCTGACCTGGAAAGGTCTGTGGCATACACAAGATAAAATAATAAAGCACAACCTTGAACACAGTCAGATTTATTACAACGGTGATCCTCTCAGGTAAAACATTTAAGTTAATCACTGACATAATGGCAGCACACTCAGAACATCTCCAGAAGCCTCTGGAGTTACTTTCATTCTCACTGCATTTCACTCCACGGAGAGTAACTCAGTTAAAGCTCCCCAAAAACCCTAGCTAAAGCAGACAATACCTAGAGGAACTCTAACAAAACCTGCAAAAAATCTTCAAGGAGAATGCAACAACCTTTTGTGGTTCAGAAAAACAGGTAGCCGCTTAGAGTGAATCAGCGAGCAGCATTTAGTATGATCTCAAATCCCAATGCTGTAAAACCACTGAACTCATGATCTTTAAATTCTAATTCTCAGAACCACTTCTGAGGCTGTAGCTACTGGGTAGAAGAATTGGCTTTGGCCATTGGGTTGTACACTTTGGAGGACTGTTTTCTGTTCTTCAGCTCTTTCAGAAGAAGTGCCTTTCCCTTCACTCATTTACAGGTTGATGAATGCCTACACCTGTAGACAGCCAAAAGCACAATCTTGATGAAGAAGGTCTGAAGAAAAGCAATTGTTATCACCAGACTGTTTTATTTAATGAAATAGTAATTAGCTAGTGGGAAAAATCAACATACAAGCAACATAAAAGAAATAATATATTCATGACCTCTTTCAACAAAAGAACTTTTTCCTCAGCTCTGCCAGGATTTGTTCTCTCCTTTTAGGCAGATCACAGCCTCTGTTTTCCACTACTCCTATCAGCACTGTAGCTATTATTTTACCTCCCCCACAGTGATCCTGTATTGCATGACTTGCAAAGTGCATTTTACAGCCTTGGTGTTACTAGCATCCAGTCACATTAAATACAAGAAAAGTATTAATTCCATTTTATGTTTCTGACATATATTAGTATACTTGTTTAATAGCTATTGACAACCATTTACAAAGAACTCCTAAAATGATAGCCACTAAGTGCTGGTTCTGAGTACTTAAATCTATGTAACTGTCAAGATTTAATTACTTCAAACCCAAAACAGATTTGTGGGTAGCAGAAATATCTTGTGTTTTGAAAAAGAATTTGAAAAAAACTGTAAGCAAGTGTAGTATAAAATATGGAATTGTGTTTTTGTTGGATGTTCTTTATGCTGTAAGACTTTTAAGAGAACGATAAGAGCATGCCAGAAAATTATTAACTCTCCCCCAAAATATGCAGTGGCAGCTGCCTCTAATGTTTTGAAACTAAGTGGCTAAAAAGCCTACAACTGATATTTCTTCAGCAACTATTTATATGAAAGAAAACATTTTGAATTGATGTTTTCGGTTATGACTTTTTAAATAGAAATAATCATAATGTATGGGGAAAAAGCTAAGTCTGGGGCTTAAAGTCGGAATCATTTACTACATAAAATTCCTTTTAATGCTTCCTTCAGAAAAATTCAAAACTTGCTTGAGATTTTAGTTTCATTGTTCCGAAGCCCCTTTGGGCTCACCTATGGAACAACTACTTCAGTCTGCACCAAAGCAACACATACACACACACTGTAGATAGATAGCACCAACATATACATGTATGTATGTGTTTCTGGCTAGAATACAGAATGAAATAAAGTATTTAACACACAACCCAAAGATAAACTTCATTTGTTTAGGCATAAAAAGATTATCAACATTTGAGTTTAAATGAAGTGCTGACTAAAGAGTCAAAATGTTTAATACTTACTCAGAAGACATACTCGTCATAACTAGTGTCCTTGTTGGCTAGAGATGTGAAAGAGACAAGAAAACATCAAAAATCTGGAAAGTTTTCCCCTTTGAAAAAAAGATTAAATTAGAAATTGTTCCATTAAAAGGACTAAACTACTTCATAATTACAGTATCACCTGCAGAAGTGGCTGTACTAATTAACACATATACTAGAAATATTAAACTTTGAGGACAAGAAAGAAAGGAAACCCCTTCATCATATCTGGTATCAAAGCATCCAATATATCAGAAGAGAGGAATGTAAGTTTTCATTAGTAAAAACAAAAAGCAAAGGATTTCCAGTCTGGTATGCCACAGAAAAACAGGCTAGTATGTGTCATCTTTCTTTTTCTTTTAATCAGGTGGAAAGGAAAAGGCAGCTTACTTTCAACAAAGAAAACCTGTAATTTAAAATTATTCCAGTTTCTTCCAAAAGTAAAGCAGAAACTGGCTGAGATGCTGCAGAAACAAAAGTATATTTATTGTAAAGTATAATTTTAATAATTTTATTTTGATATTGTAGCTTTATTTTGTTTGGTTTTGTTTGTTTGTTTTTTTGGAACAACTTCAGCATTTTAAGTCCAGGTTTTTAAGGAAACATTCACTCTTAAATGTTGTCTAGCGAATAAAAATTGTCTGAGTAACATAACACACAAGGTATACTCAAAGAGTACAGCAATCCTTAAACCAGCAATTCTGAGACACCCCACTCCTTCCCCTGCAATACCCTCCATAGCTTATGTGCAAAGTAGGACTGTTTGCCCCATACAGACTTTAAATAAGCTTTTTAACAATTAGTATCATAGAAATCAGAAGAGGAAGAACTATCCTTTGGTCATCAGCAATGACCATGAAAGCCTCTACAATGCACAAAGGTAGGTCAGAACATGAATTTTAGCAGTATCAGAGAAATATAACATGGTCATCAAAAAATATATGTAAGAAGAGTTGACGTTTCAACTCCAAATAAGTTGAAAATCTTAGCTAAGAATTACTTAGCTACAGGAACATGCACAAGTATGTATACATAAACATTTTAATTTTGTAGAAAAAATAGATTGACTGACTTTTATACAATGATTTCAAACAACTTCTAATTTTCAAAATCAGCATATGATTTTCAAGTTATTTCTCTAGATAACTACTGCTCCATAAGAAATAATCATTCACATTTCTGCCCCCCCCCCCCCCCCCAATATATTACCACAATCACAAGCAGTAAGCTCCCAAAGTCTCTGCTAAAATTCAGTTTCCTTTGAGTAATGTATTGAGCTAAGACCACAAAGATATTTTGAATTGTATATTACAGCTGGTAGCACAGGCCAAAAAAAAAACACCTCAAGGGCAACTCATTTTACCCAGTAATGAATGACAGAACAGAAAAGAGAACATACTCTAAGGCAACTCCATCCATCCTCTCTTATCAGTACAGGACTGTTCTCCAGTAAGTGTTCAACCAATTTGTCACATTTAAGAATGGAGTTTCTTGGAATTATCTCTGTAGACTAACAGACTGTAGCGTAATAGTGTGCACCATGACCGTTCATTATATGAACAATCTTTCTATAAATAAACCACAATTTAGATACCATTGAAAAGATAGATATTAAAGATAACATAAGAAGTAGTCTTTTCAAGATACACATGGTAATTTCATTCTATGGTTGGGTAAATTTGAAAAACATAAACCCCAGATACTATTTAAGTCTTCAGAAGAAACACAATGTAGCATGTTCAATAATTTTTTAAATTCATGATAAAAATGTACTCAGAAAATATTATCTAAGCTATACAATACTTCAGAACTGAAAATATACACAATATGAAAATGTAAAAAAAATCAATAATAGAATGGAATAAAACTTCAAATAAGGGAAGGATGACACTTTTATATTGGAATATTTGAGAGAAATTCTATGCAGTGTTTTTGGAAAAGTTTCCAAATTCTAACTTATTGCCAGCAATACTTACTGATGATGCCTTAGCCTACTGCTAGCCTGACAGCTGAAGAAAAGACAATATGCACTTATCTGTAATCAAAATTGTTTGCATTCTTAGACAAAAGACTTTCTACTGTATCACTTTCAACTCCAAATAAGCAGTCACATTCAATTGCTCTTGGAAGTTCCGAGAACTTCACAGCTTCAATTTTACATTTGACTTTTACACGTAAAGAGTTTGAGCAAAAATAATAACTATGCAACGATATATATTAACTATATCTGTCATAGAATCATAGAATGGTTTGGGTTGGAAGGGACCTCAAAGATCATCTAGTTCCAACCACCTGCCAAGGGCAGGGACACCCTCTACTAGACCAGGTTG